AATAATAACAAAAACATTTCCTCAAAATCATTATTCCTAATGTCCCGAGAGAAAAAAATAGACCAAAGAATGAAGTGCATATTCCTCTGACAAACAGGTGCTGCTAATCACGACAACAGGTACCAGATGAAGCAATCTGTCCATCATTCAAGGAAACTTCTCTGTGGAAATGACAGTCTGATGGGGGAAGGGCTTACTTGATGATATCCTAAGCACGGGCTCTGACCATCATTGGGACACCATCTGATCTCGCCGCCGAGTTTCCCAACGTCCTCCAGGAGGGTCCACGTCGCTTTACAAGTGAGGTCACCCGACAGATTGGCAACTTCTAGAATTTCAGGAACAGCTGCTGCAAGGGCGAGAGAAATCAGATCATCAAATAAAGATTTCTCTGATCAAATTTGAGTCACAAAGAATGCAAGGTGTGAAAACTACAACAAAAAAATGAGTATCAAAATGAGAACCTGCACAAGTTAAATGTAACAACTTTGTAATCTTTATTCTACAGAATGTGACAGATACATTCCGATGTGTGGAAAGCCAATAGAAAAAGGGGATAGTCTGAAGTGCTTCTCCATACTACCCACTTCTTTACCTGGTGCTTCTATGGCTTCGGGCTGACCAATTGCCTCTGAGTGCTGGATCTTGCGTTGTCTCCGTGGCGCCCTCGGGGGCCGTACTTTGAATTGACCAGACCTAGTACTTCCTGTAAAAACATAACCCCCCAAAATTAAACATCTCCCGCAAACTGGCCCTTCGAACCAGCTTTCCTTCCAAAATCCAACACCGTAAAAAGTCAATGGTATATTGTCTTTTAACACAAGCAAAAGATCAACTCCTATGAGAGAAAAAAGGCTTTTATTATGTCCTTCAGAATTCACAAAAAAAGGGGGGCAAAAATCTGTGTTAAATTGTGAAAGATTTTGTGTGGCATCGATTAACAAACCGGTGATCAAGATAACAGGTTGTATGTACGGACCTTATGTTCATGACATCCCGTTAGAGGGTATTGCTTTCTTGCTCTTGGATATGCTCAAAAAAATTGTCTGTGCATTCATTGTAACAATATTAAAATGACAAAGAAAAGCCTCTGAGATGCCAGCAAGGCATAACCCGTTATAACTGACTGCCTCGAAAAAAATTTTGGTACGTTTAACTTCTATGATGCACACACCACCATGCCAGTGTAAGAAATGTGTCCAACACTGCAGAACTGGAATTGCAAGCAACCACTGGAAACAACGACATTTGGTAAGCTTGACTGAATTAGGCAGCCTTGTGAAATTAGAGTCGGGCCTAACCTCTTTCTTGTGGACTCATTCTCAGGTAGGTAGGCCCGGGACTCTGTGAGGGCGAGACACCGGGACTTTGCATGGAACCCTCCGGTCCGTACATCTCCCAGCTCTTGATTGCACGTTGGTCCACGCCGTACGCCCGTCGCGAGTGCGGGTGATATTGCAACAGAGTCTGAGGGGTTAAGGGGTGCCCTGTTAGCGTCCCTTGCATGTAAGGACCCGAAGCCACAAGCTGAGCTTGCTGCTGTTGTTGCTGCTGTTGCTGCTGCGGCGGCTGTTGCTGGGACGGCGGACGCTGCCCGGCCATGCCAGGGGCGTAATTCATCAGCTGCTGTTGGTTTAACATTACAGGAGTCGGGGCACTTGGGGAGGTTGGCCGCTGTTGCATTTCCTGCTGGCCGCCTTGCAAAACAGGGTGGCCAGCCATGCTGGCTGGCTGGTAATAGATTGGCAGAGATTGACTAAATGGTGGCAGTTGCTGTGGCTGTGGCTGCTGTTGCTGTTGTTGCTGTTGGTGATCCAAGGGAGGCTGGTACATGATCTGTGGCTGGCTCTGTTGCTGCTGCTGTGGTGGGGGAACCACACCCTGATAGCCTTGCGGGTAGGAGACCTGTGGCACTGGCGGGGCCAGGGGCTGTTGGGGACTCACCAGCCCAGCCTGCGTTTGGTACAAGACAGGTCCCCCTGGGGGTTGGCTCCCGGGGGACACCAGGCTCAGTTGGTGAGGGCTGCTGGTGGGAAGTTGTTGAGACTGAGGTTGTGCTTGTTGGAGGCCCTGTATGGAGTGTTGGGGAAGGAGTTGAGATGGCGGAGAGGGACGCATCATTGGACCTGGAACACTCACTTGTTGAGACTGGGGAACTTGAGATACCATCTACAAAATAAAAATAGAGGAGAGTGTGAACACGACCAACTTTGTTTTGAAACAATCTACAAATTTCCTCAGTTTACTCAATGCACTTCTGCTAATAAGCTGCCTTGCAACAGACATTCCTGATGAAATCTTCCAACAGGGTGGTGTAAATATATATATGCTATCATATGTTGTTTGTGGTAGCAGCTCCTACACAGGATTTGGAAAAAGATGTCAACCTCATTAAGCAAAGTTTTTGAGGTACTAAGCAGGAAGTCTCACCCAATTATGCTTTGAATTCTTATCTTATGAACTGATGTGGTAAAACTTCCATTTCACTGAGCTTAATGATAATCTCTATTCAATAGAAACTGAGAATAGAAAATGGATGAGTAGTTACGTCGGTCTCATAGATTTCTGATGACTGACTGACCTGGGCATGTTGCTGAGAGGGTGGCTGCCCCATCGGCTGGGGCTGGTGCTGTTGAGTCGACCCCTGCACCCCGGGGGAACCCATCCCCACGTGGCCAACGGGTCGTACAAAGGAACCTTGCAGGTATTGCTGCGCAGCTGAGACCGACTGTTGTGCCTGTTGCTGCTGTTGTTGCTGAAACAACTGTTGCTGCAACTGCTGCTGTTGTTGGTGTTGCTGCTGCTGCTGCTGTTGTTGGTGCAGCTGTTGTGCAAGGTCACCGTCGCCACCTGACATTGGCCTGCTGAAATGCAACTGCTGCACATGTGCACTTAAATCCTGATAATCCTGGAACCAGAAACGAAACGCTCAACCAATCTCCCAACTCTTTTTCTTTAAATAACTGACAAATGCACAATTTATATTGAAAAACAAAACCAACTATTTACAGTGATATTGAACAAACAGAGTCTTGGCTCAAAGTTACAAGAGACCTTGTGCATGTATCAGAATAAGAAAACTGCATCCACTTGATGTTTCTGCTCTATGACAAGTATGGACAATGACACTTCACAATGACTGACACTGACTATGACATTATGCAGGGAAATTTCTGGTTTTGTCATCTTCAGCATGCATTTTAAAGGCCTACTAAACTACTCCAAACTGCTCCTCCTTCATCCCTTTTCTACAATACTGGCTTGGATAAAACTGGTTGTATTAAGAAGTCTACAGTCCCTACTTAGGAAGCAACGATAACAGAAGATCATAATATTTTGGGGTAAACTTCACTGGTTAGGAAAATAAACAATAGCCTTTGATGACAGCCAATGTTTCAGACAGGAATTTCAATGTTCCATTTTCAAAAGGCTTTCAAAGAGCAACTTTTCAATGACAAGAATTTTGCAAGTAGAACAAAAAAAATTTCAAGATTACAGCAGGAACACTTCCAAACAGAGCGCCACTACAACTAGCTTGCATACCCCTGAGTGTTGATGGTGCACCATTCCGTGTTGCTGTTGTTGCTGCTGCAGTTGTTGCTGCTGCTGCTGCTGCGGTAGCCCGCAAGGCTGGGGGATAGCACCGGGAGATCCCACGTGGCCAGTGACGGCCGCAAACTGGCCGCCGGCCATCTGCTGGTGCTGGTGTGGGAGCTGCTGCGATGAGACCATCGGCAGCTGCTGTTGTGGCTGCTGCTGCGGTTGTGGCTGCTGCTGCGGTTGCTGTTGCAAGGCGTGCTGCGACATCATCTGCTGCTGGGTAGGGAAGGCGTGTCCGGGCTGGCCGGGTAGACTGGTGATGGGTAAGGATTGCTGCTGTTGCTGTTGCTGCTGGTGTTGGTGCTGTTGCTGGCTGGACACAATTTGTTGCTGGCTGACATTCTGTGGTTGGTACACCATCGGGGTGCCATCTGGGTTTAAAAATGGTGTCCCTGACAGAGACAGAAGAACTGATATTTGAAGAATAAACCACAAAGATCATTTTTTGATTCTTGTTTTCAGGTTTTAAGAACAAGGAAATAATTCTACACGTTCCAAGACTCCACTGAATTTGGCAAGATTGTTACCGAAGAAGGTTTTTATATTGTACCCTTTACCCCCCCGTGTATTTCAAGTAATCAGACACCACATTTTCAAGCAGAATTTAAAGGGGCATTCTCTTAAACACAGGTTAAGCTTTCAGGATGGGAAGATAAATGGTCCTACATTCAAGGTGGTGCAGTTGCAGTTGCAGTTGCACTTTTAGGATCCACGAAGGTTTCTGAAAAGCTGCATTCCACGACTTTTTGACAACTTTTGACAATTACCATGACATGCAATGCCATTTTGAAGAGAAAAATTGTTAGCCTGTAAATTTATCATTCCTTTATCACATCAAAAGGCGGCTCGCCAAAATAACCCTTGCATTATGTTGATTTCCATGACTTTTTTCCCCTTGGAAAAAGAAAACCAGGACACCCTATTTTTCCCCACTTTCCATGACACTTTCGAGGACAATTTTTTTTCCAGGATTTCCACACCATGGGAACCCTGCGGAGGGCAGAGTTCACAGAGGATTGAAATATAATGATCACGCTTTAAAGAAGAAGGTTCAACAAACCTGTTTGGGGGTTGATCAGCACACTCCCTGGAGGGACAGATTCAATGTTGGGTGCAGCAAACAGAACAGGCTGGTTGATGGCTCCCGGCTGCGGGGTCCCCTGGGGTGACCCGGACGGGACTAGGAGTGGCACTCCCTGACTTGTGGGCATACTGCTGGCCCACGTGACCTGGGTGCCCTGGTAGGCCTGGGGGTTGGAGACGGAGGGGGCAGAGTAAGATTGTGGCGGGTGCTGGACCTGGCTGATGGTGCCAAGGGAGGGGTGGTACTGGAACGCCGGGGATGGACGGACGTTGGGGCTGCCAGCTCCTCGCTCTGAGGAATCTGTGTGGATCAACAGTGAAAAAGAATTGACTAATGCATCAAGTCAGTCTGATCCCCATCCAAAGCAAGAAGTGCTTTCTCTGAGAATATTCTCCAACAACAGAGAGAGTAAGAGACAGAGGACAATACATTTTAACCCACTGTTGTTGTGCACATCCCTTGCCTCTGTGAAAATGCTGTGGATTTGTGCACATTCCAATGAAAATCACATGAGCACACTTTGTACCATACATGAGCTGCCCATGTGTCCAACCCTGGAATTCGTCGAAGTGTTCATATATTCTTCTCTACTACTCCTGCATAGTTAACAAAAAGTATCAAGTAAAATGCCCCAAAACAAGCAAAATGCTATGATGCAATAATGCAGTACATATTTTCTTTTCTAGTGACGAGTTGATTTGGAGTTCAACTACCGTTAGTTTCAGGAACTGACTTTCACAGCTAATAGGAATCAATGTACAACCATTCATCACTCCAGTTAGATAAGGCAGACATGTAGGGCAAGGAAGGAAAACTTAACAGGTTTCCGAATTCCCAGTTGGACACGCCCGTACTTCAGTCACCTTGTACTTTACATGCCCGGGTTCAAATCCCACGGTGGGGTGGTGGACTTGGAAATTAGTTGCGACTTGATGTTGAGAGTTTCCGCAAGAAATAATTGGACAATTCCACCCCCTTCCGAAACTTCCTTCCTCGTCTGCTCTCCTGCGGGAGCCTTGCCAAGTGCAGTGATTAAGCCTCTTTCAGAGAGAAGCAATCTTAAAAGCACCAGCTGGGGCCTAGGATTCTTTTCACATCACATATTTTAAAACCACAAACTATGCACTAATAACTTGGTAGTGCATTCCTTTAGAACCAGATACTTCTAGATAGAGCTTGAAATCAAGACCAGAAGATGATGACAGGCTTTTTGAGGAGGGGCCTATCTATGATTCTAATCTTGACAAAAAAAATAATGTTGTTTCAAACTGTAAAATTTCATCCATAGGTTTTTCAATGATTTGCTCAAGTGCATCAGTTCAAGAAAAACATTCTTTTTGGTTATCTCGAGAATGTCACTAAAATTCACCAATTTTAGAATCTTTATTTCAATTTACATAAGGCCCTGCTTGTAAAATTTTTGTATTGCTTTCAACAACTGACCTGTGCAGCACTCAGAAAGTGACTCTAAAAGCAGCTCTGAGCAGGCAATTTCTCTTTCTTCATGTTTAGGACCAAGTATGACCATATGACAGGTCGTGTGGGAACTTAGTACCACCAGTTGACAAAGACACGGAGAAGATTTCACCAGCTGCTGCCTTGAGCTTTTTAATATCAGGTCAAAAAAGTCGCATTGTATTGACTTGCTTTTATCTTCGTGACGTCGTGAACTTCAGCTTAAACAGATCAGAGTGTTTTTGCTTCAAGTGCTGTTGACAGAAGCATAAGAATACTCACAAAGAGCAGGGTGAATGATGACAAAGGAATGCTTTTGCTGCATTTCATTTAAATAGCTTTTGAGATGAATTCAGGCTGGAGGTCTTATACTGGTCTAGTGGGGGTCTTGCGATGATCTCAGGGGGCCTCTTTCCCACGAAGAAATAAAAGTCCAGCTCGAGCATCCTCCAAGACTCACCTCCTCTTGGCAGCTTGCCCAGGCTGCCCCTGCTGCCCAAGCTCCCGCTGCTGCGGCTGCTGCCGCTGCTGTCATTGCGCATCAGGATCTTGGTGCTGAGCCCACTGCCGGCAAAGCTGCTGGCCTTGGTGACGGCAGGGATAGAGGGCCGCTCCGAGCCACTGGAAGAGTCCACGCTGCTCCAGGGCCGGTCCTGCTTCCAGTGGTAGGTGGAGTCGTCCGAGGTACCGCTGTTCTGGCGGCTGGAAGGGGCCAGCGGACCACAGCGCATGGGCCTGCCCGGCAGAAAGGGATGACGGTGGAACAATGCTGACTCAAACTGCAGTAAACTGTCGGCAGTTTGCAGAGCAATCTTGGGCATGTTTATTCATTACAGACTAGCTTTAGTAAAAGTATATGTTACAACCACAAGATCTGTTATCTTGACTCATCTCAAATTCTCAGGATCAAAATGGATTCATTAGGCTCAGATCACACGAGCCGATACAGAATCCAATGCTCAACCTGACACAGTTTCCTTTAGGCAAATGACAGGAAACCTCTATCAAATTTGGACAGTTCATACTCGGAGCAAAGAAGAAACACAGTTTGACACTGAGACATATAAATACTGAAATTCACCCACATTAAAATGTGCTCAGCTTTGGTGATTTAAAGGTGAAAATGTTTGATGTGGTGTTACTATTGAATATTTCTGTTAACAATCAGCAAATAGGAACTGACATATGATTGTTGCATTGCTGGTAATTTTTAATAACGGCAAGAAATACAATCAGAAAACAGAATGTCTACCTGACAGGAGATTCGATCAGGATGGTACCCTCTTGAGATGAGCTCGACTGGGAAAGAAAAAAAAAAGAATAATCAAAGAATCATAAAAAGACCGAATTTTTGAATCTCTTTAACGGTGAAAATGTTTGATGTTTGAACTGTTTTTCCCTCAACCATACAGGTCATTTGGCACTTGCGGTTGTTTTCAGGCCCATTTAAACCAATCAATAATCAGAAATCAAGACCACATCATACAGAATGGTGGTGGGCAGGAATTTTACTCCACTGCGCGATGAGAGAGATTCTCTCACTCCCAAACAAAGCTTACATCTTGGTTGAAGATCCTGGCCCTAGCTCGCTCATATTCCTCCTCCCGTTCCTCGTACGATTTACTCTTCTTATCGTCCTTGAGCTGGCCGCCGGGGACGATGACCCCGCCTTCAAGTTTCTCGTAGCCGCCTTTGTCCTACCAAAAATAACAACAACAAAGAATGTCTCATTGGAATCTGAGCATGCACTGTAGATGGCGCTTTATGACCTAGCCAGTCAGCGTTATGACTGAGGCGCAGCTATTTTGATTTTTTGTAATAGTTCTCTTAATCTCAGAAGGAAGGCAAGAAATCCTACTTGCAAACGTGTGGATCATTTGGGAGAAATCATTCTATAGCTTTTCAATGACATTAACTTTTCCCCCCTTCCCTACATTTTGTTCGTTTTACAGTTTATACTACCAAACAAAAATTCCTGATGTGAAAACAAGAATCTGCGACTGAATAGGATCTCACCAACACACTGGTGATGAAACATTGTTACACCTACACTTTACAAATAAAATAGAAAATTCAACCCTCTCAATTCTCCAATTGTGGAAGCACTCATACCTCATCTTCTTTGTCCTCGAAGCTTGCTGTGTCCCGTTTAAGGATGCGTTTAGCTTGGGCGTCTTGAGGCTCGTCCTTTATATGCTCACGGAACTTCTGTTCTGGTCTGAGAGATTCAACCAAAAATGCATGAAAATGATCAATGGTATTCAATCAATCAATAAAGCCATGACCAATATCTAAGTTTAATTCTATTTTAACTATTTTATGGATATCAAATCATCATTGACCAATTATGAGTTTTGGTAAATCAAACAAACACCCAAATACAGGATGACCAAAAGCTTTATAATTCAAATTGTTCTTAATCCTACTAACCAACATACAGCTCCATTTCCAGCATAAAGCAAATATGTTAGAGAGCTAAATGACATTATTTCAAGGTGGACAAAACCCAGCTGCGGCTTCGCTACTGGACCTAAAATTGGCAGCAGCTTACATTCTTGTGTTGGGCGTCTTGTTGACGATGACAGACTTCCCCGCCTGGTCTACGTTGTGCTCAAGGCCAAAATATGCAGCGACACGGTGAACGATCATACGGTGGTAGGACGTCATGGGAGGAAACTTACGTACATGTTCTCTGTAAACGGGGGAAAAAAAATCAAATTTCGGGATAATTCTAGTTTAACGTCAGGTTCTTCTTTGTTGAGTTTCCTGGGTTCCCACAGAAATCTGATGAACTAAATTCAATGCCTTTACCACGACTGTCCACAACAAAATAACAATTACCATGACATTTAGTGCAATTTGCCGAGAATGGTTATTTGGTATTGTGAATACGGTTATTTCACAGTAGTGCGCCTCCAAGAGTTTGCAACGTGTTGGCCAATCACAATGCGTGAAATGTGTCGACCCAATGCGCGTTTCGAAAGGGTCGACAAATTTCGTGTGTTGTGATTGGCCAACGTGTTACAAAATCTTGGAAGCACACTATTGTGAATCGCCCGTATTGGAAGACTGCCACAGTCACGACCATAGCATGGTAAGGAGACGCAGTAAATTTATCAGTATTCTGTTATCACATCAAAAATGACCCTTGCATGATCTTGATTCCAGGACTTTTCCATGACTTTGTTGCTCTGAACACAGCATTACAGGAAACCTTATTTTAAGATGATTTTCCATGACTTTCCAGGGCAATGGTTTTCCCCAAGCTTTTTAAGAATTCTGTAAGACTGTGGGGGCCCTGGTTTCATTGAATATCTCCTTTTTTAAAAAATCAACGCTGATTTAGCAGAAAAAAGGCGGACACCAAGTCTTGGCAGGTTACAAATGAACATGTTTATTCAGACATAATGTAACTGCAAGCTTAGACTAGGTCCAAAGCATCTGGCTGTGGCTAGGAGTATCATTCATCTCTGTGGGAAGTAGCTACTACAGCCAGCCACTAACTTCCATAAGCACCTGCCATTTTGAGCCACAGGTGTAAGAAATCAGATGTCCCCGCCCCCCTTACTTTTGGTTCTGGATGAATTTGCAGAGCTCTTGCTCCAGTTTAAGCAGCATTGTTCTGTCGTTGGGCTTCTGTAGCGTGTCCACAATGAACTGGTGGAGGTCCACACCGCTCGAGTCTATGTACAACTCCTTCTCTTGGCTCGGTTCTGTTGGATGAGACAATTGGAGCAATTGGGATCTTTCTCGGCAAGCCAACCTGTGCATGGATGAATCTCGATGGACCACCTCAATCATGTTGACCAAATTTCATGCTGTGGCTATCAGACACCAATTTTCACCAAAACCTTAAATACTTGAAATACAAGCACCTGAGTTAACCATTTGCTGCCGCGGAATCCCGTTTTGAGCACCATGGGTTTATACGCAGAGCTGGGGTGCCCGAAATTGGACAAACGAGCTGGTCCGTGTAACAAAAGACCATACTCGGAACAAAAGACCTGCTGCTGGGAACTGCCATCATTTTTCGGCATGCATTTTTCGAAGGTAATCCCTCACTGTTTTGGGCATAGCGCGCCCGCGGATTAGCACCACCGACAAAAGTGCTCCAGGGCCCCATTGATGAGCGACACAGCACCGCTGCATTCTAATCCAGCCGCATTTGAAAAGACGCCATTCGCATTCACTGGGGACAAAGGAAATTACGCAACACCTCACAATTCTGGGCTCTCTTTACAGGGTGGCAGAGGCCTGGCTGAAATATTTAGGAGTCAATAAATTTTGCCCATCAGCTTAGAAACCAAACACAGTCATTTGTGTGGGTGTAAATGTCCATTAAATGAAATGATGAATTTTTGAAGAATTTGGAAAACTGAAAATCTTGAAAATCTCCCGTATGTGGGCACTGCATTTTTAAAAGCACCCGGCAGAAATGAGGAAGACCCTGTGCTGGCTGCATTGCCTATGGCCAAGCAAAAGAATGGTCTGTCCCTTCACAACAAATCTCCACATTTTATTACAGTTTCCATTATAAGGCCAGGTCCTCTACAACCAATTCTGGCTTTTTAATGACCACTTCAAAGATGATCACAAGATTACCAAAGTAAACTTTAAGCTAAGATGGTAAACAAATTTACCATGTGAAGTATGTGAACTTCATTTTTCAAGTCCTTTTAAAAGTACTTGATGAGACTTTGTTTTATGATAAATACCAGGCAAAGCCAGCCTGCTAAGTACTAAAGTTCAACCATTATCAATGACATATGGCCATCTATACTTCAGTATATCGATATACTACATCTTGCTAGCGAAGTATTCCTTAAGCATTACTTTGTTCTCGGAAAATTGTTCTCCAATGACCTGTTATTCATTGATTGTTGGTGCGTGATTCCAATATCGTGTTTTCATCATTCACTCAAAGAAAAAAACCTGTGAAAACGATCCTGAACATTCAGGCCTGAATTCAAAGGGACGTGAACATTTTTGGAGGAGTGGCTAGGGAATTCGGAGGGAGGGGTCATTGACCTTACCTCGCGACAGAGCCGGTTCGCTCCTGGCTTCATAGCTGGGCTGCTTACACACCTTGTTAGGAGGAATGTCACCACTCAGCTGGTGAGGCAGTCTGGAGAAATGGTCCACGCGCGGCTAGGAAAGACGACAGAAGCAAACCCAATGAACGTCATTCCAAAATCATTCTCACTGGCGATGCTATAATCAAGGACCTCGCTATTAGACCCTCGGGAACCACGTTACTTTTTCAAAGGAGGAATAAGTCAAATAATTAGATTACAGAGTGCCATTATGTGAGGACAGGGTTTGATGCATGCAGTTTTGAGAAAACCTTTAATAACTTTTGGCAGGAAGAAGTTTCGCATTGTGAAATCTCACTCTTTTTAAAACCTTATCATTGTCATTTTAAAATCACTGTTTTGTTTTAAATGCGGAGTTTTAAAAATTACCCTCATGGTAAACAATCCAAACTACTTTTAAAGCTCAAAGCAAGGTAATGAGAGTGTCTGGTCCAGAAAAGGAAGAATCCATAACATTTTGAAGAAAAAAAATCTTCATACTTTTACAACAAAACTACTCTATTCAAACGAAAAGACAGCAAGTCAGCAGAACATTCTCTGTCCTCATTTCCCTTGAGAAGCCAACAGGTCATGTGTAATCATTCCAACATTCAGTTCGCAAATTGTTTTATTTCCAAATCAATTCTGTCGACATACAGAAAGTCAGAAACAGCAGTACCCTGTAATGCTGTCTCGGAACGTGTGAGCCTCGACAGTAAATTTCAGAGTTCTGATGCTACATATTTCTCCTGTGACTGAAAATCTTGTGCCCGGAATTCCACCCACATGAAAGCAACACCCCCACGCGCACAAAATTCTTGAACTGAATTTTTTCAAGAGATCTTCTGACTGAATAAAACCTGCTTAAGATTGTTGTCACATGTACTTACAAGTTTCATGAAGGCCTGCTCAGTGAGCGGGAGGTCGGGGGTCTGTGGGGGTGAGGAATCATCCGACACTGGTTGACTCCGGCTCAACTTTGACCTGGGGTTTGACCTACGACGGATGGGCGCTGCCTCTGTCTCCTCCTGGCTGGCTTGTCTCTGGAGCCGGGGAATCCCCTCCCCTGGCCCCTCCCTCTCCGTCCCCCTGCCCCGCCCAGCCACGGGCACCTTCTTCCCTATGTTTTTGCTACAGTCATGCTTTTTGATGGGTTCTGTCCTCCCCTTGGGTGAGTCCAGTTTGGGGTCCCGTTTGAACGAGTCCGGTCGCTCTTTCTTGCCGTCCGTCCTCTTTGAGTCACCAGCCTTGCCGTCCTTGGCCCCGCCTTCCTTCTTGGACTCAAAGGACGAATCCTTCTTAAGGGTCGGCACCTTGCGGCTTCCGTTGCTGTCCTGGCGTTTGATCTCCGGCTTGACGCACTGTATCTTGATCTCTGGTTTAGGGAGTTCCGTTTTGACCTCGGGCTTAGTCTCCGTTTTCCCGTCTTTGCCTTCCATTTCCCCCTTGGCATCCGGGAGCTTGGGCTTGGCCACCTTCTTCTCAGAGCCGCTGGTCTTTTCAACGGCTGACATGATACTCACTCATACATTACATTCCCTGCTCCATTGGAACTATGTCCCTGAAAACGACACAGTGGAGCCCTTGATCAATTAACTTCTGGACAGCACTTTCAAGAACTATGCTTGGCATCAATCTTGTTTTTTTTTTTGCATTATACCCATGAACTAACTCCACTTCTGTTTGAGCCTGACGCTGAATAAAAGTTTCACAGGTTCACTTTCCATGTACTGCTAATTCCATTTAGAACCTTAATATTTCAACAGATTGTGCAGTTGACCCCTCTGTGTTGGATGTGGACTGATGCAGAACAGGTTCACCGCAACGATTCTCCAGGAGTAATGGTGAACTATACAGACATAATGCAGTCACTACTGTCTATCGAATACGAGTACCTTTAAATAATGTTGTGGATTATGTGAGTTGAATTTCTCCCTCGTTGACGGGCAGCGGGCGATGGGCGAAATAGCTGTCACTGTGGGGCAATGGTGTAGTCTTGTCTTTATCATTTGACTCCACTTTGGCTAGCCGCCAACTGCAGAATACATGTTCTCTGAAATTAAACAGAAATACAGTTTGACTTAGATTGAATTTAAATATCACGCTGCACAGAGAATACGCTTTCGAGTCTCACCTTATTAAAATTTTCATTTTTTCTCAAAGAGCACCATGTACAGTCTCGGACTATGCACGCTCTCCTATCCACTCAAAGACAGGGTTCAGTACTGCACAAAACCACAGGAATTTATTTATTGCTTAACATATTTCAACGCCTTGCACACAGGCTTAACGCACATAGCCAAAAACCCAGCCAACAACATGGGTTTTCATACAATGTAAATTGTTTACCACCTCACACACAACAATATCTAAGAATGACACAAATCAGAAAAACTGACCAGAATAACAGACAATCAAAATAAATTTTACATAAAATTCAGTTGGTGTAACTCATACATCAAAGCCCAATCTACATGTACTGTAGTGATCCAATGTTCCTGCATTTTTATGAAAGCATCAAGTACATGTACATGACATCGTTTGTTGGATGCTGGGAATCTATCACGGAAATTTTTTTGGGGGGGAGTGGGGAGAGAGAGGGGGAGGGACATAAAGAGCGACAGGGAGCCCCGGGGGAACTCAACACAGCAATGTACATCTAGATGCACAGTGCTGTACATACTTGACATAGAATTAGCATAATTCGCTTCAGACCCAGATCGGGGGGGGAGGGGGGTGGGAGAGACATAATGTGACGGAGTTAACGGTACAGTGGGAGGAATACATGTATGTGCTATGTAGCAGCCACGTCTGAGCGTGTCTCAATGTGCTGGGCTGTGAATCACCAGGTTTGGAGGAACTATCGTTGAATGGCAAAAGAAGAAAAAAAAAAACGGTGTGAATGCACTACACGTGCATCCGTCTCGGCAGTACGATTGAGACACTTCACGGTTCTGATGGGCTCAATTCTGCATTATATTTACAACATCATCCGTAGATCTGTACACTGCTTGTGCTGAGTTCTCCACGGCCTAAGCACTGTCTGATGGAGAGAGATACTTTGGCAGTGGTCTGATAGCACATCACATTTCACTGGAACCATTCACATGCATCCTCAAATACCAGAGGAGAGCTTTATTGAATAAATAATCAGGAAGTAATTAATGCTGACAAATATTTCACGACGCAAAGTGCCAGGGTTATCCATGTATCCGAGGCACATGTACTTGAGAATCTACATGTGTTTGTACACAAAGTGTGCATGTATATTTGCTTATTATAGGACCTAGGTGTACATACATGTACATGTACCTATTCAACGTAAGCTTACATGTAGATGCCAATTTAATGCAGGTTTTGAGAACCCTGCACCTGTCACCGTGCACTTGAATATTGTGTCTTCAACATTTAAGTGGGCATTAGTTCAGAGGTCTGTTTGTATCTGTAAAGTTGAACTCTACGTGTGCATTATCATTTAAAGTGTGTTGTTATTGATATAACAAACAAGTTTGTAGCAATCTGAACAGCTAAAAATCTTAGGTTTTTTTTCCTTCGGTTGTTTCCTCCTTACACTGTTCACAAAAAAGCTGAATGGGACAGCCCAAGAGACGAGCGGAAGACTTCGCTCCTGTGGCAAGTCCCTCCTCTTTTAAACAGACATTTCAATTCTATTTTGATCAGTAAATGTATCGGATGACCAAAGAGAAATGAAATCAAAGGCAACACTTCTTTTCTCCAAAAGTAACTGTCAGTAGCTGCTGTTGTTTTGGTATCAAATTAAAGCTTAGGACATGGTCTTTTCAAATCTACAAATTTCATTTGAATTTGTAGATGTGGTGTGAGGATAATGTCCATTACAAAAGACCACAGCAATTCAAATGTTACTATGTCCAAGCTCCTTCATACCAGGCAGCATCTAGGATCATGAAAGAGGCCTGCAAAATGAGGATACTGAACTGAATGCGGGTTTGCTAGGTTAATACCTCTTACTTCCACCAACCAACAGAATCCTGCAATGTCTCAATGTTATAAATGTAAGACTAGCATTTGTTCCAAATTGATTTGGGTAAAGGATACTTTCAGCTGAAGAGCATTAGTTTCGTCAAGTTCACAGTTCCACGAAAATTGAAAGGAACCAATGCACTTGTGCGATAATTTAGGATTCGAGTTCAGTGACTGCATGGACTTACGAGATTTACTGTTTAAACTTCCTTGGACAGAACAAAAAACGAAAAGAATTATGTAACTGATGGAAATTATTATACAATGCATTATCAGATTTAAACGAAATCTTGAATTTTGAAAATATAACCTCCTATTAATTAAAGCTTTTATTTGATACCCAAAACAACCATTTCTGGCATTTGCCGGTGCTTTGAGAGAAAATACATGTTACTTTGGGTTGATTTTTTTGGGGGGGGTTCACCTTGGAGATAAATGGTTTCTTTGTTTCAGAATTTGGACACCAAGACACACTGAAGGTACATTGTACTCTTGGTGAAAATGAAAGTACATATACAATGCATATGATGACAATAGCAGAAATGCTATCGGTATGACTGGCTACGACTGCGGCCACTTCCTACTGACATGTGCATTACCTGCACCCATAGCCAGTAGATTTGGACATGGTCTGAGACTCTGAAGTGGTTTAGCATTGCAGTTATCTTGTGAACAACTCGGTCGATGTCATTCTTAGTACTTTTTTTGTACTGTACTGCTGTAATGCTGTTTATCTTCAGTACAGTTTTTTTTTGTTTTGCTGACATTTTAAGTCTCACAGTGCACTCGTAAAAGCTGAATTGTATTTTAGTGTAGTGTAGTTTGTTTAAGATGGGATCCTTGGGAGATCACATGAGTTTCTCTCAATGAATGGATAACCCTGGATGTAAAGAAGGAAACCAACATATTTGCAGACTTGAATGCTTTTGGTACATACTGTACAAGTCTTGAAGGTGAAAGTGTTTTTTTGGTTGGTTTGGTTTGTTTTTATTTAAAAAACAAACAAAAACTTTAATTACCAGCATCTATGAATGGCTACACCGTGAATGTAAATTTACACACAGTGACTACAAACACGATTGTCAAGTTCCAGCAATATTTTACAACCATCCCTGCATGTATATGTACTTGGAAAGATTAGCGTTTAAAGTGTCCCATTTTGTTCCTACCAGTATCATAAAGAAATAAGACCAAAAAAGTTTAACTTCCATTAAAGAGAACTTACACAATTCACCCTGGATGTATTTTAAGATCTCGTGCTGCAAGTAAACTAAACAGTTGTTGTAGAATATCAATATGGACGAAATCAATAGCTTCGTACGCAAGACATGCGTCCGTCCAAATTCCCCTTAAATGTCAAGAAGGCCCGTATCAATCGAATTTAACATTTGCCATTTTAAGGCCAGCCGTGTTTTCTGAACACACGGGGCTGGGGAAGGCAGCCAATGCTCCAAATGTGACCGGTGCACAGTTTGCATCCCGGGCAATTATTTCCTGGCCTGCAATGACAACAAAAGACCTCTCTGCTTCCAGCCGTTAACGGGAATAATGAAATTAAAATGTCAACCGGGTACACCATGATGGGGGGGACACAGTGCGTTAAGGCACGTCCGTTGACAGGCTTTTAATGCCGCAAGAAGAATGAGGTCACTAAAATCCGCATAGGAACCTCGGAACCGAAACTAGAGCTTCTTCTAGATGACGTCAATAAACCGATTCACAAACCTGGAATTCTCCCCACACAATCACTACTTACAAAATGTAAAATGTCAAAGTTGAACTGGATTTGTCCCTCTGTTTTCCTCTTTTTCTTTCCCATTTTTCCGCAGCAATAATAACAACAAAGAAATTCTTTTTCCAGATTAGCCCCAGGGTGAATCGTATCTACTTAAGAGGCCCGTTAGACCAGAAAAATAAAATAAAATAACCGTCAACCCCCCCCTGCCAAAGTGTAAGAGCAAAACATAAACTGGGTTTTAATGCTGCCAGGTTCAGGTCTGGTCAACAACACAGTTACTAGGATGTTTGGTCTTGATGATATATTCAGCCAGTTTTACAAGCTGTGTCCCGATATTTTTCTTAGGAAAAACAAGTCATTGTTGGTATTCATTTCGCAAAAAACCATCTGACACAGAACAAGTAGAATGTTAAAGACATATCTGAGCATGACCTAACCTGGCTTTTCTCCAAGTATGAACATTACAGATACTATGAAGTAGTTCCTTTGGTTGGATTATTCATTATGAAAACAGCTGAAAATGAAATGATGTGGGATCATGACTGAGAAAGGAAGCCCCTTAGGACGTGGACTTTTAGTAAAATACATGTACAACTGCCTCAGATTATTTTAAAAACTTCAAACCTTGACCTACCGGTCTCTTGAAATACCTTCAACAATTTTGAAACAAGAATCAAGTTTGCTCTGATGCTAGGGAGGTACAGTCATCCTAAAGACACGCACTAACATCCCATAACACTTGGGTTGTTGCTCAATCTCATAAATCCACAATAGCATGTTTATCCTGTACATGAATGCAACCTGTCAGAACACATGAATCCACTGTATGGAAGAGAACAACAGATAGACGTGTACTCGTTTTCAACATACGCATGTATTTGCCAGACAGCAAGCCCGAGATTTCCACATCCCTTCCTGTTGTTACCATGGTAACTAGGATTAGACAAAGCATAAAAATATCCCCCCCCCATCTAATGCCCTGTAAAAAGGGTCCCATACGCACGCGGGGAGGGGGGATTCTTTTTGCAAAAATCCCCGGCCAAGTTGGCAAGTCCCGTCTGGTGTTGAAGTCACCCCATGGTGTGCAGCGTAAGCCTTTGGCATCCACAATGGATCTACAATTTCCGACGACGTGCAAATGCCTGCCTTAGTGCCATAATCCACCCTTTTGCAAGAGGCAAACCCAGTGGATGCTCCCCTTTTTTCGCAGAAACATCGTGGCAGAGGCAGAAATGCAAGTGTCACATTCCCGTCCCCCGAGACATGGCCAAGAGGTATTACATTTCCTCCCCCCTCCTTCCATCAAGCTGCGA